AATGGAGTTCCCACATCATTTCCTCATCATCCAAAACCAACCAAATACTGGGGTTACTTTACAGATCATCTGACCCTCATTTTGGAATGTCAGTTAAGCACTCTCTGTATCTGAGCCTGGTGCGATCTTACCTTGGCTATGCTGATGATGCGTGGACGCCTCTGCGCATAGGTGGTTTACGCACAATTGAGGGAGTTCAACGTCAAGCAACAAAGTATATCTTAGGGTATCCAGATGCCCTGATTCCTTACAAGGAAAGATTTATTAAACTGAACCTCTTACCAGTTCTTTCTGGCATGAAATCAGGGATTTAGTATTTTTCTTTAAGGCCATTAATGGCATATATAACATTGACATTACAGAGTTTGTCCAACCTAAAGTCATAACCAGGTCCACTTGTCATAGCTAGTCTTTAGACTATCAGCCTTTAAAATGTAGAACATATTGTGGAATTCCTTGTCTTTGTCACTAAGAACCCTACCTAGCACTAATGCTTTCAAAGCAGCTGCAGTTAAATATTATAAAAAAGCACTTATTGAAACGTTTGATCAGGATAGTGTTTATAATTGGAAATCATTGTGTCTTAAGTGCTCTTCCATTAGGAATTTAAGGAGTTTTCATAAGTGTTGTTTTTAGTAGATATTAATAATTAATAAGAAAAAGTCTCTGTAAGGATCAAACATCTTGAGAAACGAAAATTTTTAAAAAGTTTTACCCGACGACAAAAATGACCGAAACTGTACCGAGATTAATAATTTATTGGTTTGTTCACATTCACTCCCAGGGAAAAGTAAATGTATCAAAGTAAAGACGAATAATGTTACTATGCATGGTAGAAGTGCCAATTTGTAATGTTGTATTTAGCTTTAGAAAGAGAAATACACATTTCACTCTTTTTTTGCGACTTTTTTAATGAAAATGAGGCCTCAGGCCTCGCACAAGCAGCCGTCGTTACCATGGCAACAAGAGTGCTGCAACCTTTAAAAAGGGCATTTTTGTGCATCCCCCTGAGTGCCTAACTGCATGCAAAATTTGAAGGGGGGTTGAAAATTTTCATTTCACACGTGGTTTGATTCTTACAGACTTGTTCTTAATCTTTAAATAAGAATTGAGATATATTTTTTACACGTAAATTCTTACATTATGTACGCATGTTTTGATATTTTAGTGGATTATCTATTTTATTTCTATTTTGCTTAAATTCTCCCATACCATTATTTTTATTGGGCTTTCACTTAGTTGGAACTTGCTCTGTCATGACTGTCCCTCACTGAGTTTTTCTCCTCACTATTGTTATTTTCGTTTTTTTTTTCCTTTTTCTTCTTATACCAATTTACATTAACTGTCACCTATTATTTATCATATTTATATGTTATGTACTCAGTGAAAGTCGAATAAATAAATAAATAAATAAATAAGACCGCGATGGTAGACTCGTACTCACCAAAGACAAAAGACTAGGCTTAGGCAAAGTGATTCCCTCAAGTACGAAAATGGAAGATACCATGTGGCCACCCCTTGGAAAGAAAGAACAGCCACCAGCTAACGCTATGATATTTGCCCCATTTTGTGGTCATGAGGATGGATAAATCGACTAAGAAAGGTTGAATCGTATTTGACTGTGCCACTAAATGTGATGGTACTTCCTTAAATGACATGATCCATGTTGGGCCGAAATTACAGCAAGATCTTTTCATTGTCCTTATCCGTTTCCGTCAAAATCCTGTTGGTGTCCCTTGCAACATAAAAGAAATGTATCTCCAGATAGAGATTGAGGAGCAGGAGCGATCCCACCTCCGACTGTTTTGGAGAGACCTTGACCCTAACTGAGAGTCAGACATATTTGAGTTTAGCCATGTAGTTCTTGGAAAGAATTCTGCCCTTATGAAGTCCCAGTTTGTTGTGCAGGAGAACCCTTGAAGAAACCAAGACCACTATCCCCTTGCCACTGAGACCGTCCTTTAGTAAACCTATATGGACTATTGACAGTGTTGAAAACGATGATGAAGGAGTGGAGCTGTACCATCAATTGAAAGCACTATGGGAGGTTGCCGGCATGCAAGCTAGGAAGTGGATCTT